CAATGGCATCTGTAACTCTCTGGTACTGCTGATGGACAAAAACCTGCATGACCCAAATATAGTTTAGCACCATAAATCCCATAGTTTAGGTATATAAGGTCATGCAGGATTTTGTCCATCAACCGTATCATGCCTGGAAACCCAACTCTTAGCATGATGCCTGCTTTAGAAGGTTCACTGTCAGTACTTTATTACGGTCCTTCGACATGCATCGGGAAAAAGCAACAGCTACCAGGAAGGTTGCAATGATTTGTAATACTATCCCCTTATAGTTTCTGTGAAAGATATACCGGATATACCCAAAAGAGTCTATAAGGATTAAGGCCCCTATATTGCTCCTCGACCCTAAACCCTAAACCCTAAACTGGATGAGATCTCCCTCCTGGCAGGAACTGGCATCGGCCTTTGAGGAGATTTGGACCGTCCTGGCACCTCCCTTAGCACTGAGTAAGGGGTATTGTGGGATACGAACTCCGCACTGGAATTCCCAAACCTTGAATGGATTGATTTCAGGTGTTGGGTTTGCCTTGGCCTGCGAGTTTAGAGATGTGAGGGGGTAGTCAGAACTCATATATGAGTTTGTTCCAAAAGCCAAGTAGCTAGTGATATGAATGATATTCGGTTAAGCTTAACAGTAGATTGTATTCATGTGTCGATCTCATGCTTCTGAGAATTTCGTCCTGTTTCTTCATCCCCCCTTGCACCCAGGATGCCTCCAACGACGGCAAGGCAGGATCTGTCGTAGTCCTGGCAGTTTTCACAGGCCCAAATTGGTTAGCTTCAGAGATGAAACACGTCCAACCTCGGTCGCCGAGCTGCTGCATTCAAAGCACTGGGTTGGAAGTTCATAGGGGGCCAGCCGTTAAACATCCGACAGCTCTGAAGCTCTTGCTTTCTCCATGTTCACTGCACCTAAGTTCCCACAAGGATTCAGAAACTATTGGCAGCCCTGACACCGACATTCAAGAAGGAAGATGTAACCTCAGACAGGTCTGCTTCGAGGAATTCTGCGAGGCTATTCGAGGCGCACTGACTTCGGTGAATGCTTCTAGGAGGCTTCGTTCTTTTAAGGAGTCCCAGCTCCAAGAAAGAGCTGGGAGTCGAGGTTCATGTAATATAGAAGCCTAAAAAATAAGGGTCCCTGGTTATAACTGTAATTGCTGTAAAGGAGCCGAGGGGCCCAAAACCATATTCTAATTAATATAGAAGCCTAAGTTACCAAAATTAGTGACAGGGTTCCTTTCTATACATATACCATAAAGGAGCCCAAAACCCTATTCTAATCATCAAGGCCCCTACAGTACCTCCGGGTCCAGTTGGTCAGGCCTAGGTTTTCAGGTTGGTGGTCACGGGCTTTCTGAGCTCCTGACAGTTAGACGCCCTTACTGTCAGGGCTTCTTGTGCTTCATGTGATAGCTGGCTCTCCCGAAGCCTCGGCTTTCGGAGTCGCAGTTCAGACTTTCGGACAGCCTTGCCAGTGCATGTCGGGCTGCAGTCCGGTAGAATAACAGCCTCTTCTGAGATGCAGGGTTTATAGGGTTTAAGTTTAAGGTTTCTGCGCCTGGACGTTTGTACCCTAAACCCTATGTAAACCCTAAACCCTATCCATGAGCCACATGGTTTTGGAATGTTTTGGAATTGAGCACTGTCGTTATGATGCTGAGACACCTTGAGGTCGGCATATCACTGCCCTTTAGGGTTTAGGGCCAAGGCTGAAGCATCCAAGAAGTGCTTCAGGTGTAGACCTTAGTTTTTGTAAGGACCGATTCAATTTTGGATCCCTAGGTTTTATACCGTACCTATGGACTCCATTGTAGTTCCTTTTTGGGGCTACGTTACAAAATCCATAATATATATATATATATATATATATACTTGGTTGAACCAAAAAAAGGAAACTAGAAGGGAGACTATAGGTAGCCCCTTTCCATATCGTCCCAGACCCTGTTTCCGCGGAGGATACCGAAGCAGCTTCCAACCTTCCCTGGGCCGTGCTGACGTGGTCACCAACGCGGAGCCTGGGAATCATTGATATAGGGGCCTTTAAAGTAGGGTTTTGGGGTATATTATACCATAGCTATGATAAGATATTTAAAATAGCGGTTTGGGTATATTATACCATAACCATGATAAGGAACACCCAAAATAGTATAGGTAATTATTTAGGCCCCTATAGTATGTTACGGGATAGGGCTTTGGGACATCTCATGACATCTCACATGTTCCCTTGTTGGGCGCAGGAGGATCTACTCTACGAATATCTATGTTTCAAAGAGTTTAAATGGCCAACCTAGATGATATGCGCGGTGGATTGCGTACGGCTTGGCCTGCAAGGGGGTCCAAGTATTTAATTCTCATATACCCCTCAAATACTCACCTACAAGAGTACTATCCCAAACCCATGTATCGAATGAATGGATCCTTTGGAGCCTTAGGGCAAGCTTAGCTGAAGCAGGTGTGCTGAGAAAGTAATTGCAAGGGCTTGCTGCAACCAGGGTCGGGAGACAATGTAAATACCAACAGTACATATTTCGTGCGCCAAAAGTATAGTTCCCTGTATGTTGTCCGCTATAAAGCACCAACCACCACATGTTGGGCATGCGATCTGCTAAGCTTCTGGGGCAGCAAGGCGTTTAAGGCCCGCAGGAAGTTTCGAGCTTTTTTGTTTCGGGTCTGGGTGTGAGGCATCTACTCGAGGTCAACTACGTGTGGTTGGGTTTGGTGTAGCTTGGCCTCCGCTGATGCAGGCTCGCCAAGTTGTGAGGTAGTTCAAAATCCCTAGCCCTAGCAGCTCCGATCCTAAAAGCCCGAAATCTCGTTGCGCCCACTTCGTGAGGAACCCAACACTCTAGCACTGCGCGAGGCCAGAAAAGTCTTATCCCCCCAAACCACAACTTGGACCCCCCTAGCGGCCCTAGCACCCCTGCACCCTAAGCCCCAAGTAGCCCGGAACCCTCTTTGGTCCTTGGGCCCAGTGCTTCTGGGCTCCTAAAACCCTAAAACCCTGAACCCTCATCCGATTTATTCTGCCACTCGCCTGGCTTGTCCGAGTTGTGAGAGGTTACACATAGGCCCCATAGTAGGTCCTTTTTGGGATTACCTTATAGGATTCTAAACATGAACCCCCAAAGAGGAACTACTGTGGGGCCTATGGGTAAACCCGAATCCGAGGACCGTAAGCTGAAGCAGAGCTCCGGCTCGCTCTGCAACTCTGGCAGCAGATCTGCCAGGGCATTGAAGGGTGTAGGCTTCAGGCTTAGAGCCCTCAACCCCTGTGCCCCGAAAAGATTCAAGGGCGCATGGCTTTGAGGGTTAGAGTTGTTGTTGAGATGAGCTTTCAGCATCGTCAGCGCTTGGCAAAAATGGGTCTCCATACATGCTGAATTTCAGTTTTTGGCTCACTCATTATCCTTCCTGGTCTTCTGCGGCGCTCTGCACCATGGCGATGACAAGGGCAGAGCAGATGGAAAAGTATCAGGACGGGCTGATGGGGGAATGGACAGAGAGAATTGTTGATCTCAACAGCGTGCTCAATGCTACTACTCTTTTGGCATGTCGTGCTGCGCGGCTGTAAGACATGCCGCATGTGATGCATGTAACCAGCCTGCAGGCGACCAAGTCACTGACGGGACGGATCTCGCAACGGGGGAAGCGGTTCCAACTTGCATCTTGACCGCAAGTTCTGTGAGACGAACCCCTCAGCACAACACGCCATCCATACAGCTTACATGTCATGGTCTTCGGGCAGCGAACAATGCACAAAGCCGATTACTTTGGCAGAGTTGCCTCGCCAGCGAGAGCTGTAAGAGCATTCAACAGCACGGCGCTGGCAGAACAGGTTGGCATAGGGACGTAGAAGATGTTGTATTCTATATGTTATATTTACCGTATATCGCTGTGTATTATATATTATAGTTAGAGTTAGCCAGGAAGGGACATGAAGTAAATGGACCGGAACTCTTCTTTATAGCAGAGCCTAATTATTGCAGACAGCTGCCATTTGTGGAGCACTGCACAGCCCGCGATTTGTTCTGCTATCCCTGATGCTATCGAAGGCACATCCGCCTCTAAAAATCAGGAACTTGGCAATTTGGAGTCAACAAACCGAGGGTTCAGAGGCAACGAATCTTATGCCTCAGCCTCAGACCCTAAGCTGATGTCTGTCGGTTTTAGGAATGCTGGCGGGGAATCTGAGAGCCAAGACGACACATGTGCGAAGGTGGCCTACACCGTCTCTACGATGGTCTTCGGTATGATTTGCAGCGCCCTTGGCCCATCCATTCCGTGGCTGGCGGGCAACGCGGATGTGTCTCCCGAGGCCCACAGGGATTGATTTTTTGGAGCTGAAGCCAGCACTGAGGTGCAATGTTAGCTGTAGCAGCCTTTGCCAACTCCTACACGGAAATCCGCCATGCGATATTCTGGTGATTATGTTTGTGAACTCCACTTCCTCATCGCCGATCCCGCTCCAGGACTTTATCCCGTATTGCATTCGACTGCATCGTTTGGCTGCTCGAAGTTTTACACTGGCTAAACAAATTAACCCACCATGCGATGTTCTGGTGATTATGTTTGGGAACCCCACTGCTCGCCCATGCTGCTCCAGGACTTTATCCCGTATTGTCTTCGACTGCTTCGATTGACTACTAAAAGTTTTACACTAGCGAAACAATTTTACCCACCATGCGATGTTCTGGTGATTATGTTTGGAAACACACTGCCTCATCGCCCATTCCGCTCCAGGACTTTATCCCGTATTGCATTCGACTGCATCGTTTGACTGCTAGAAGTTTTACACTGGCTGAACAAGCTCATCTGATGTTCTTGTGGTTCTGCTTAGAAACACACTGCCTCATCGCCCATTCCGCTCCAGGAGTTTATCCCGTATGGCCTCCGACTGCTTCGTTTGACTGCTGGAAGTTTTACACTGGTTACACCAGTTATAAGTCTGGTTTAATGGCTGCAAGAAAATCTTTCCTTGCTTCCTTAGCTCAGTGGGTTGTCTTAAACCCTAAACCCTAAACCCTAAACCCGAACCCCCCAGAAGCCCTAAAACCCGTCATTGGACCCCTTGCCTCGCACAGCCAGGTGCTCGGATGGCTCCCGGCTGCTCAGGCACTGATCACCCAGGGGTGGTTGGTTGAGGGGTTCAGGGTGTCGGAGTTTAGGATTTAGGGTTTAGGTTGACATTGGCCGGGCGAGCTCCAATCAAGCCTGTGTAAAAAGGGTTTAGGTTGTTTTGAGCTCTTCCAGACTAACCTGATGAGACCTTACTTTCTGTCTTCCAAAAAGCCAGGTGTGGCTTTGACTGCTCTAGTACCGGCTACTGCTGCAACCTAGTTTGAGCCTTTGCTCCAGCCCATCTTGCATTCAACATTCGATGGGGTTTTCTGCAGAACACAACCTCCGACTGAACCCTAACCCCAGGTGACCTCTCCGAACCAGAAGGCATCGCCCTAGACCCTGAAACGCGAGAGACGGAGCCCGTGCAATGACTGTCTGGTGCTTAGTAGGGAATGGGGGAATGGATCCCTATGATAGCCCCTTAAGGTCCCTTAGAGTAGTCCCTATAACCCATTCCCCCATTAAACCCTAAACCCTAAACCCTACTAAGCACCAGACAGATGAAGGCAGTGATGTGCATCGTTTCGGGCCTGGCCTCGAGCCTCATGGCCTATGTGCCACGGAGATGCCACCATCGCATGCTCTTTGTGATGATGCTCCCGGGCGGCAGGGTTTAGGGTTTAGGACCAAGTTTAGGATTCAGTTGGAAGGATGTGCCCCGCATTCGAGATGTGCTCGGCTACAGGATCTTGAATTATGGTTTGGCGTTGGGAAGGTGACGGGATCGTTCAATGGACCGCTTTTACCCTGTCCTACGACCTGCTGCACTTGTCCAGCAAAAGTATTGAGTAGGCTGGAGAGATGCCGGGTTGCCGCAGCGGTGGGCCTCACTCCCAAAAGGCTTAGTCGACTGCATGTCTTTCGCCGGGTGCTTAGCCCTAAGCCCACAGACTAGATCCTTCTAGTGACTTCGGTCACAGCCAGCGCCACCATCACCACCAAGTCTCTACTACGGCTGCTAGGTTTCTGCAATTTCTGGCCTTGCTTTCGCTGCCATGACTGTTGGGCTACCTTGCGACATCGCTCTACGCAGCCCCTCCAATTTCTGATGCGTGGACTGCAGTCCTCGGTTGTCTGCAGCTTCCCACATACCTATAGTCTCCATTGTAGTTCCCTTCTTTGGTTTAACCAAATATATGTTGAGGATTTTATAAGGTCTCCCCCAAAAGGAACTACAACGGAGACTATAGGTAAAACCATAAAAAACGCCGAATCCAGGCTTTGGCTTGGTGGATTCTTCGCGCTGCTGCCGGTCGCCAGCCAGACCCTTCTTGCGCCACTGGAAGAGAATTCCTTCTTGTCATCAACGATTCCTGGTATTAGCGGTTTAGGGTTTAGGGAGTTTAGGGTTTATGGTTTAGGCCTTCTTGTCATCATGGTTACCCATAGGCCCTAAAGTAGTTCCTTTTTGGGGTTTCATATATAGAATCCTATAAGGAATCCTATAAGGTAATCAATCCTAAAAAGGAACTACTATGGGGCCTATGGTTATGAGTGTTACAAGTGCGAATCATGCAGCGTGCTCGTCTTCTCAGCCTATAACAGCTGATCAGTACGCAACACCCCACTGCAGCGATTAATACTACCATCGATGCTCCAGCATGTTCTTCGTCATCATCGGGACAGCTGGGCTCAGAACAAGACAAGTGTCCATCCTTTTTCGTGCTCCTTTCCGATCTCTCCCCAGCTCAAAACCATAAACCGGATACCTCAACACCCCAAACCACACGTAAATGCCGTCCCCACCCGTAAACCTAAACCCGTAAACCATAAACCCGAAACCCCTAAGCCCCTAAACCCCCACACCCCAAAGACCTGAGACTTCTCTCCTGGGTGGCATTAGGGAGACCCCTTAAAGGGGACCCTATTTCTGGCTCTCTTAAAAGGGACCTTATTGAGAGGGTCTATATCCCCAAGGGTCCTCCTAATCCAAACTCCCACTCTCCACGGCAAGTCTAAGGCTCGTCTTCACCTACGGATTTCAGGTCTTGCCTCGACCGAAGCTTGGAAGGAACCAGAAGCCTCTTGGGTTTAGGGTTTAGGGACCAGAAGCCTCTTTGTACCCTCAAGCAGAGGTATAGGCTCCCAAAGTCTAGGAATCTAAAGGATTTCAGGCTTGTTTGGTCCTTGGTGTGGCCTGACAAGCTTGTTGGTACTTTGGGACCTTTTGGGTGCCTGTAGGTTTGCGTGCTCTTCAGGCTTTTTTCTGGTTTACTAGGTTTTTAATTTGGGTGTAAACGGCTTAGGGCTTTCTTGGCCAACTGGCCGTTGACTTTTGGAGTTCCATGCTCTGACCGGGTTTGATGTTCTGCATTGGAGGCGCTTGGGGCGGGCTTTGTGTTTCGGGCCTTCAACCCCCCAGGTGGATATATACCTTCAGCCCCGAACTACAGCCTGAAAATACTTTTGATATAATCCTTATGGATCCCTTAAAAGGAAGCCTGTAAGGTGGATCGGGCAGATGACAAACCTCCTCGTCTCAGAGCTCTACGAGGATCCGAGCCTGTCCAGCGCTGCGCAAAGCTTCAACCAAGGCTCTCGGACCTTTGCCTTCAGGGCTTCAGGGGTTGAGGGTTTAGGGGTTTTGGGGTTTTGGGGTTTTGGGTTTGGGTTCAAAAAAGGGTTTTTGGGTTTAAGGGTTGAAAAAAGGGGGTTTTTGGGTTTAAGGGTTGAATTGTAAGGGAGGCTCTCCGTTCTCGGATGCTTTTTTTTCCTAGGTGTTTTTTGTTGTAAGGCTGTTCTGTACGGTTAAGGGCTTTGGCATTCTAAGCAGGTTTTTTTCTCGTAGGGTGTTTAGAGGGCAAAGATGAGGGAGTGGTATAAGGGTTTTATGCGGGTGTTGGGGTGTTATAGAATTCCTAGTTGGTGTTTTAGATGTTCTGAGTGGCTTCATTGAAGGTTTACAAAGGGTATTTCGGTGCTTACAAATGTTGTGCAGGGTTTCCGCGGTTCTACAACAGGGTTCTGCAGGGTTTCGAATTTGGGATTGCTGCAGTCTACGGGTCCAGGGTTAAGGGATTGCTGGATCAGGCTTAGCAAACATAACAACCGGAGTGTGTTTCAGTTAAGCCATGGGCATTGTATCAAGTGTGTTGGCCAGGGATTCTTGCCAGATTGCCACCGACATCAACCGCAAGCTTAGTCCTACACGGCTACATGGGCAAAGCCTTCCACGATTGATATCTGGCCGTACTTTTTCTGTGATAATCTTGCTAGGATTTGAGACATGGGGCAAGGAGACAGCGTCCAACCACGGAAGCCCAACGACTTTGCCCATCCTCAACAGAAGAGAGTGGACCAACGGGAGTTTTGTCAGGACAATCACCATACTAAATGCAAAGATCTGCTGTTAATACCGACCATGCCTGTTATCCTTATACTATCAGCCACCCCTCAAACCTCAGCTCTACAGAACTGCGAGAGGTTAACACCTTTAATCTTGCTAAACCCTAAACCCTAAAGAGGTGGGTTTGCCTTCGGCTGTGTGATCATGGTGCTTCTTGAGCAGCTTCCGAGCTTTGCAAGAAGGAAAGTAGTATAGAGCCTTCATATCAACAGGGTTTTGGGGTACATTAGTCATACTATGATGCTATAACTATAATTGACTACAGGCTTTGGGACGTGGGTCTCTCAACTGTTTATCTTCTGTTTCAGGGTTGAGGTCTTTGGACTGCAGCTTCTCGGTTGTCGGGATTCAGGGTGTTTAGGGTTCAGGGTTAACGGTTTAGGGTCTTTTAACTTTTAGTTCAGGTTTTCGGGTTTGACGCCCGAGGCTTTGGCACTCCATAGCTTAAGCTTGGAAATGAAAAGCCAGACCGCTGACATGCACATTGGTGCGTTGCAGAGGACAGCACAAGCAGGCAAGGTCAAGAACAGCATTATGGTCGTCGCCATAGCGAGGGAGGGAGGCAGTTGCAGGAAGTTTTGGCAGAGGAACGTCGTCAGATGCAGTAGTACTCGTCGTCGTTTCCGTCAGCATCGGTATCTTTACCAACATTGTATCATTACATCACAAGAACCACCATCTGCACAATAACAAACTAGCATTGTCGTCATCATCATTTGCGTCAGCTGGCTGGGACCACCATGGTTCTGAAGAAGAAGGAGAAGACAGAAGCACTGATGATACTGATGCTGGTCTGGTACACGTGTGATTAGCCATATTGAGCAATCAAAGCCAGTCAGAGCCTGCGAAGACGGAACAAGGACAGTACGGGAAGAAATGTGGTGGTGGCAAGGAGCTTTTCACTACGACTTGGTGATGCCGTGTTGAGATACAAAGTCAAGTCGACCGTGCTGTTGAGGCTGTCTTCGGCCACCTTCGGCACCGAGGTCATGTTCTACCTTGCTGGAGGCCACCCCGTAGTTAGACAAATTCAATCAGCATGTCAACTTACCCTCATGGTCTGGAATGCTCTAGTTCCGACAAGGCTTCTAGGCTTTGATCGCAGTCTATGTAGCATGCTGCAAGCTTGCGCAAGGTCTGATCGATTGAGAGGTGGCTCACGTCTGTGCTGCATAGGCTTCACCGCCCTGTCATCCCTTCTTTTCCTGAAGCTGCCTATGCCTCCGGGCTGCAAGAGGGGAGACTCAGGATTTCCGGGCCAGGAATTTCCGGGCGAAGTTACAACACTCTCACGCACCTGCAGAACACACCCGACATGGCAAGGCGACACGCATCAGCCAAGCCTGTAGGATGAAGGATATCCACTCGTATACGTGCGGTTGACCGGCTGCGGCGTCCAAGTAGCCACGTTAGCGGAAGTAGGGCAGGGGCTTGCGAGTGTTGTTGCCTTCTCAAGATTAGTAAATATTTTGTTGCTGTCCCTTGAACTAGTGATCTGTGGGAGCTGTTCCAATGCAAAGGAACCACAGTGAGAGTTTACCTGGTTCATGCCAGCAGACCTTGGTGCCTAAACCATAAGTCCCGATAATTCGAATTCGGCCTGCCGCAAAAGGCTAGGACGTTTGGACCGTCATCTTAGTAAGAAATTTCGCATGGATGGAACAAGTTGACAATGCTTGGTTTGGGTGGAGATGTTTGCAGTCCTGATGGTAGGCTGGACGACAAGCCAGCACCAGCCAGCAACACGCCGCGGTGCTCACAAATGCCCAGCTGCTTGTCACGGTTTAGGCTTTCAAACCATGTGCATGTTTGAGCTTGGGCTGCTTTCCGGACCGCGATCCACGCGATTGCCGTTGCAACCGTTGCAGGGCATGGACTCATGAGATCCCATAAGATTCAACTCGCCAGTCCCATGCAACCGGTCTTGGAGCCAGGCTGCTTCACGCTCACTTGCAGCGGCCTCGGCATCTTGGCTGTTGGCCTGGAGGCGGGACAAGGAGTGACTACTCAGGACCAGTACCAGCAGTCGTCGTCACTAGTACTGGTACTGGTACTTGTACTGGTACGTACTAGTTACTAGTCTCAGTGCTTGCACAGAAGTAGTCGTCGTCGTGTTCTGGTGGTGGGTGGATGGAGTTGGTGGTGGTGGTGGTGGTGGTGGTGGTGGTGGTAGCAGTAGCCGTAGCAGTAGCAGTGGTGGATCGTACTCTGACTGTGCTGAAACTGCTTACCAATATTGCTTTGAAGTGGTTTTTGACAAGGAATTGCGTTGAAGGCAATGCTTTCCAGCAAATACTTCGTCATTCAGTGTAAAATAGTGCACCCAATCCAAAGGCAAGGTGCGGCTTTGCTGTTGTCGCGCAGGTCGCTTGTGGAACCTGGCTGATAACATCCATGACCCAGACTCTCAGCTGAACCTCCGCTCCCCCTCTTGGGCTTTGAGCGTTGGGGATATGGAGCTTTACAAGGTCCCGATACATAGATACATTTATATTCAAATTTTCTGGGTGTGTAAGTTATGTCGATGGAGTGGCTGCTTCTAGCAGATTTCGGACCATGACAATTTTATCCCGCGGAGCGAAAATTTACATCCTAAGTCCGGATGGATCAAAATGACTGTGCTAGGGCTGACCTACTCTAACCAGTAGAACCGCTACATGATGTAACGACCACTTAAAAAAGGGACCCTAATTTGGAAACCTTCCCGAGCGCGCCTCATGGCAGCAAGACTTCCAGGATTGGGTTCTCCTCGGGGACAGCAGCTGCCTGCAACGTGACCTTCTGGATTCTCTTCGCCGTGTCTCGGCAGGTCTCCATATGGTTTGCTTCAAGGTTCCGCGTTAGGTGAACTGCTGAATTAACCTACCCATAGGCCCCATAGGGGTTCCTCTTTTGGGTCTCATATTTAAAATCCTATAAGGTAATCCCAAAAAGGAACTACTATGGGGCCTATGGGTAAGCAATTACCGAAAGCTGAGTCGGAGGAGAACTCGTTCGAATCCAGCTGGGGATGCGAGTTCTGCGACAATGCTGTGGCAGAACCTAAATGGGGACGTCGGGTTCAGGGTACAAAAGAACAAGAGGTCCTACACCATACACGTAAACCGTCCGTCGAGCGTGAGTGAGGCATCTACTTCTGGATTGTTATAGGCTCTCTCTGTTTTTCTGCGACTCTTCCTGCCGGACCACGAGTCTGGGCTTAAGCATCTGGGGGTCCCCTAAACCTAAACGGGCCCTGGGCGCCCAAAACTTAGAACTAGAATAGGGTATTATACCATACTTAGTTAGAATAAGGAAGCCTGAAGGAAAATTTTTACCTTTGCTTCAGCCCCCAAAAAACAGCAGGACAGCGTTAAAAATGAAAAACCTTGCACGTACGAGGAGCCTTGCCTGCCTGTGCGAGAGTGAGAAACCCTAAACCCTACACCCTAAACCCTACACCCTAAACCCTAAACATCCCTGGAGACTGGGAATTGGGCTTTCTTTCCACAAGAGAAAAGGCGAGTATACCTGGAGTTTCTGGCGTAGCAGGCTTTTTGTTGCTGTGGAACTAATATGCCCATGGTCTGGGCGATTTGAAAAGCTTGCTGGGTTGGAAACAGTGAGGCGTGAAAACGGACATGAACCAGACAGCTTTGTTGAAAGCAGGACATGGACACAGAACGGAGAGGTGGAAGAAGTTGCAAGAGTAAGTGACAGGGTGACAACAGACTGTTCTGGTGGCCGTGGCTTTGAGCTAAAGATCTGAGTGAATTAGACGGCATTTTGCTGAGTAGCATGACATGCTCTTTCGAACAGATAGAGCGGGAGGAGTTCCTGAAATGAGGGAGCTCCATGAGTCTTCAACTTCCGTCTTCAACTTTCAACTTTCAGTCCTCATATCGAACCTCGCCGTGAGTATAGACCTCATTCATGCGAGAGGGAAAAAACATCCCTAAACCCTAAAGGTGAGCCGCTTGGTTTTGGCGCCTTGCATCTGCAAATGCCTGCGCCCTCGGCCGGCAGCCATGGTGATTGGAGGCTCGCTGTGAGCTTCGGGTTTAGGGTTTAGGGTTCAGGGTAGGGACGTAAGGAAAGCACCATATATCTAGGAAAAAAGAAGCCATGATACCTAGTAATAATTGCTGTTCCTTTAAGGAATCCCACCCTAAGGCTTAAGGGTTCCTTATGGTTCCCTTTTTTTTATGATCTACTCTGGTTATTAAGGCCCCTTTAGTCAATGGCATCCGGCCTGGTGTTCAGGCTCCTTTGGGGCCCTAAACAAATCGCCTGGTTCTTAGTCTTTCTCCGTGCCAAAAGCGAAGTTCATTTGTACCACTGCTTGGTTTTCTTCAAGCCAGAAGGCCTTGCGGCGCTTCTGAGCACCCAATTTCGATTACAGTGACATGGCACGGCATGTTGTCCCCAAGTCTCGGCCTGAACGCACGATGAAGCAAGCCTGACATCAGCATGTCATAGTGCCTTGCCGCAGTTTTCCTGCCGATGAGAGTGTACACTGGCAGGAGTGTCTCAACAATTCATATGGTCTAAGTTGCTATGAACAAGCTCGAAAGCATGGTAACTGAGAGTAACGGCTGCAATCATCAGCGGCATTGTGACGCTGCCAGGTGCAGCCGTGGCTTTCCTTTCGTGTCTCCCCGCAGCCGCCGCCAAGCTTGTGAAGTGTTTCCATCGTTATGCTCTGGGTGGGATGTCCCAACCTCATTTTTGTGTTTACTGTAGGGTTTTTTGGTCCCTATATGTCCTTATAAGCTGTATTCGGGAAAGTCTCGAAAGAACTTACTGCATCCACTATGAAAGTGCGACTACCAGGTGCATTACAGATTGCCTTGTGGCTTGTGTGCATTCTTCGTACCACAAATCCGCGGTTCCCGGGCTAATCCGGCAATCAGCTTCGTGTTTCGATCTTGCGATGCCGCTTCATCGTATTTGGCCGTTCAGAAAAAGCCATCGGCTATTTTGAAGTCATGGTTGAGCGTGCTATTTGCAGACACGGAGCAAAATCACGGGTTTCTGCTTTCTGTTGGCAGTACCAGCCACAGAACACCACCAATGTAACAGTGTTGTGACTGATCGGTGCTTCCTGGTGATATTGTTAGCATCCAAGACGTCTCGAACCCCACACCCAAAACCGCCCCAAACCCCAAAGCCATGTCTTAAAAGGTTTGGCCGCACTACTTGCCTGGAATCTTCATCGCGGTTTCTGGGGTCGCCGTGGGCGCCGGGCCAACTTACGCGATGTGCATCAGCATGGCAAAGGAGAGATGGGCTTCACAGGGTACAGGACTTAGGATCTAATCCCTAAGCTCGTAAACGCTTAGTGGCAGCTTACGACACAGAAACCATTTGCTTCGTCAGTTGCCAAAGTTAGCCCTGTTGCTTCAAAGAGCTCCAGGAGCGTCGGGAGCTCACATCTGTGGATTCAGACGCTTGGCAAAGACCAAGAGAGTGCGGGCAGCTGGAGCATCATCACGTCGGGGTCTGTGTTGCTTTGATTTTTCGGTGCTTGTGAACGAAGTTTTGTCGAATCCACGCTTACAAGGCGTTCAGGGTTTTCCTGTGAAACCCCAAACCCTAAACCCTAAACCGAAGCTTCAGGGTTAGGGTTGCGGGTTGTCGGAGCCCATGTTGCCGGCTGCCCTATCTGGTTCAGGTTTTCCTGAGCAGTGAACAAGCTTTAATGTAGGGACCCAAATAATGACCTATACCTTTTTATAGTTTTACTATAAAGGAGCCCAAAGCCCTATTCTAATTATTAAGGTCCCTACATTAAATTAAAACCCTAAGCGCCATTTAAAAAACCGAACCAGGCCATGTTCGCGATCGCTTCCTCCCTCGGTGCTGGGGGCGTTCCCTTCGTCATGAGCCGCTCGGCCTTGATAACTACCTATAGTCTCCATTGTACTTCCTTTTTTGGTTTAACCAAACGTATATTAACGAGTTTATAAGGTATCCCCAAAAAGGAACTACAATGGAGACTATAGGTAGATCGAATCTAATGTGGGGCCTAAATAATTACCTGTACTATCTTGGGGGGGTTCCTTATTATAACTATAGTATGATATACCCCAAACCCTATTCAAATTATAAGGCCCCTACATTATGACGGTTTAGGGCTCAGGGTTTAGTCGATCATGAGTTTGCTTTAACCCTACAATGCTGGACGCTCAGGATCTCACATCACTCCTGCTCCATTCTTTGGGACATGGGCCCGTCATGCAGCCACGGGCTTGAAGTGCAGATCCTGAACCAAGAAGCTTCGACTTCATACTGTAGGGAGCTTCAAAGCACAGCACAGCTACTACTGCCAAAAAGCGCAGCCTGTTCCTGGTCTCACATCATGAAATTAATGCGAAATTAATGCTTAGGGGATTTAGGGTTTAGGTTTCCCCTACATCCCACACCGGAGGCCGCATTCTGGCCTTCTTCGGCTCCACGGCATTCTTCCCGACGCTGACGTGCATGCGCCTTTCCGTCGAGTCGTCGCCCAGGGGCGGTCGACGGTTGACATTGCTCGGTTCGTGGCTCGTGCTTTCAGGCTCTTCGAATTTGAGATTTATCGTTCTTTGTGCACGGTGTGGTACTTGGTTGTATGAACGACGTTGGGTGAGTTAGGGGTAAGGACTCGCAGCGGTCGGCGCGGGGCCACGAAGCATTGGTACAGCACTTCAAAACTTGTTCGAAATTGCCTACTGTCAAAGGCTTGGGTTCTGCTGAAAGGTTGTGGCTGAAATTGGGAAGTTTTCAAGGAAAATCTCGAGGTGCACAAATTCGCAAAGTCTTGTGTCTTGTGTTGTAGAGTTTATGTTGGTTTGCACACGTAAGCAGTTTCAATTCAACGTTCTTATGACCCACATCACCCAGGTGCTTGATCCTCCTTGTCTTTGCGTACCTCGTTGACCGGGTCTACTGTGCGAGCAGCACATCGCAGGAGCAGTCGGATGTGGAGCAGGCAGTGGAGGAAGAGGCTTGGTCCCAGAACCCAATGAATAAAAACATGGTCAAAAGCACGGCAGCATGAGTAGCAGGAGGAGGAGGAGGAAGAGGATCAAGCAGCACGGACTAGGAGAAGGAGAAGCAGGCGCAGTAACATCGTTTGTCGTAGCTCATTTGACATCGCAAATGCAGGAATGTACCGGGGATTCGACAACAACGACTACTACGATAACACCACCGACAACCACGACAACAACAACATCATCTACTACGTACTACTACGTACTACTACGTACTACTACGTACTACTACGTACTACTAAGTACTACTATGTACTACTACGTACTACTACTACTACGACTACTACTACTACTACTACCACCACTACCACTACCACTACCACTACCACTACTACCAGCTGTTGTCATCCTGCGT